ATTTGGGTGATATTTAGATGAGATTTTAGGCTGGAATGGATGCTGGAGTGAGTCAACTTTGGTGGCTGTTGTGATGGGGTGAATAATTGCATGTGAGAAGGACTTGAACTTTGGTGGTCAGAGGGTAGAACGTGTGGACTAAATTGTGCCACTCAAAACTCATGGTTGAGCTCTAACCCCAGTGTATCAGTGTATCTGTATTTGAGAGCGAGTCTGTGAGGAGGTAATGAAGGTTAAATGAGTTTATAAGGATGGGTTCCAACTCTCGTCCCACTAATGACCTTGTAAGAGGAGGAAGAGACACCAAAGAGTGCTTTCTGCACACACAGAGAGACCATGTGAGGACACAGTGAGAAGGCTGCCATCTTTGAGCTAGGAAGAAAGACTTCGCAGAACCTAACCTTGATGGCATCTGCATCTTGGACTTCCAATCTCCAGAACTGTGAATGAATTTCTGCATTGTGCTAATCAGCTTGGATGACAAAGGCAACTTGGTACCCATACCGCTGTCTGTGGCATTTTGTTACAGCAGCCGGAGGAGACTAATACAGTCTCTTATCTACATCAGTGGCAGGAACCACAATTTTTATTTCCTCTGTGGGTGCCCAGAGGCAGATTCTCCCAGATTTACCACCCATCAATTGAAAATGAATTCCTTGCTCTGTCTGACATACAGCATTTTGTTGAGTTGTGCAAATCCAGGTTTGACCAAAGAGGCACAGTAAGTTCAGTTTCTAGCACCAAGCTTTCCCAAAACTTCCTAAGGGATCCAAAGCTGTGTGGCCTTGTGCAAGTGAATCAGCCTCTCAGGTTTGACTTTCCCATCTGTAAAACAAGGATGTTATTAATACCTACTCCAAAGGCTTAGTGGGCCAATTAAAAGAGAATGTAAGCAGAGTTGCCGGCACCTATAAAAGGCCAACAAAAGGTGGTCCTTGTCATTTTATCAAGTTAATAAGTGTAAAGAGCTAAGGACAGTGTCTGACACTAAGTCTTAGAATAAATTTCTTATTTTAGAGGTAATAAGTCCCCGGTAAATGATAGCCATTGTTATTTTGGGGTCTCATCTTCTATTTCCATCCCAAATCCTAAACCCTAACTATTCCCCATCCAGTCCCATCCAGCCCCATCCACCCCACAGGCACTCCTGCCTGGGTGCCTTGGTTGCTTCTGCCTAGTGTTCCATTTCTACTCCTCCGAGCTCAGCTGTCTTCTTCTCTGGGACCCCGATCTTTGCTCTTCCCCCAACCCCCTCTTCCCCACCGCCCAGCCAGAGGAATGGGGCAATGACTCCTGGATTGTGTCCTGATAAGAAATCAACTCTACATAGCGCTTAGTTCTTTGCTGGTGATTAACTCTTCCAGAGCCTACTTGCAAGCATGGCCTCCTGGGGAACGTGGGGGACTTGGGGGGTGGGATGAGGGGAGCGCTGGGTGAGTTGCCTCGGTCACCCAAGGCGACTAACACAGTGCAGGACCTAGTGAACTGGCCCCAGCGCAGCGAGGGACTGGGTTTAACCCTTGCAAGGCCGAGCCCCAAGTCTCGCCAAGGGCGCATGCACCGTGAACCCCTTCTTCTAGAGCTCGGACGATCGCCTCCCCACGGCGCCCTCCACCTGGGTCAGTCCGAATGGCTGGGGCTCGGCGGGCTCCTCCCCAGCGGGTCGCCGCGGGCCAGCACCGCCCCTCCTCCAGCCTCTGGCCCTGGGGCTGGGGCGGAGCGTCTCGGCGGTGGGCAGGGAGCGGGGCCGGGAGGCTATTAGGGCAGCGGCGGCTTCCACGCCAGCAGCCACCACCGCTGGGTCGGGGGCTGGCATGGCAGAGGACTTGTGATCGCCGAGAGCGAGGAGCCGCCGCCACCATGACCGGGGGCGCGGGCGCCGCCGGGCTCTGCTTGATGGCTCTCGCTCTGCAGCTACTCTCGCCGCTGGCGGCGCAGGAGCCGGGATGGAAAAGTAAGTGGCAGGACGCGGGGTGGGGAGGATGGAGGCGGGGGAGCTGGGTGTCTTGGGGACCTGGGAGTCGCCCTGCGGGCTTGGAGCGCCAGGACAGCGATCACTGCACCTCCTGCGACTCTCCGGGGCGTGCGCCCCCACCGCCCCAAGCCCTGGAGCCTGGGCTTTGTTTCCACGTTGTGCGCCCCGGGAGGTGGCGGAGATCGCGGAGATCGCGCAGACTTGGAGCGAGCAGAAAACAGCCGCTCCTCTCCCTGGCTTGCCTTCCCCTCGCCCTTTCTCCTTCCTCTGCTTTCCTGCTTGGGGCTTCTCTTTCCGCTGCTCTCCCGCTCTCGCCTCTGTTTTCTCACGGTCCCTCATCTCCGCTCCGCCTCTCGCTCATCCCCATCTGTCGCGCCCGCCGCTCGAGCCAGCTCCGAGCATCCCGAGCGCCCTGCCCACGCGGCCTTGAGGGGAGACGCTCCCTGGGGACCACGCCGCGTGCGGGGCGCACCCGGGTGGGGTCCGGGAGATGGTGGTTAGGGGGTGGCCCTCTGGGTATCTCCGGCTGTACACTTGGGACTTCTGAGCTGGGAGGGACCTTACTGGTTGAAATTCAAGTCCGACGCGCCCATTGTACAGACGGTAAACTGAGGCTCACAAAGGGAAAGCATTTGTCCGCAGCCACGCCGCAGATTGAGGTCTGTGCTGACCCTGGTAACCAAAGCTCTCTTTCCTCCCCATCTGGCCTCTCCCAGCCTCAGTTTCCCCTTGTATGAAGCAAAGAGGTTGGACTCCATGTTTCCAGCTTGGATATTGTGTGATGTTTGTGTTTCTCACAACTAGTTTCCCAGACACCATTCCCGCTCCGATCCTATCCCTCAGGGGCTCCGCTAGGATTTCGCGGAAGGGACAGTCCCCAGGGTGGGGGTGGGGCGGCGCCCGGGTTCTGTCTTTATGACCCGGGAAAGCTGAGCTTTCTCTCTCCTCCGAGGCAGACCGGCTGGGTTGGCTCCAGACGCTGCTTGTGGGACCAACAGTCAGGCGCTTTCAAATCAAGCGAGCGGCCGGGTGGGGGCTGGGCAGGCTGCACCCCGGCGGCCGAGAGCCGGGAGGCTGTTGCTGGTGGGGCGGGGTGGAGCAATCAGGGGCGATCTCCCCAGACCCTCGGGAAACCAAGGTCCAGGGGCTTCACACCGGGAACCCGGGACTCCTGGAGGAAGAGGAAGTCAATTCATGTCTGATTTTCCAGAGTCTAGCTCGAGGCCCCGGTCCGTGCTCCTTGCAGCAGAAAAGCATGAAGGCAGGGTCCAAGCCCGGGTTCAGAGACCCGGAGACCACTCAGTGAGCCAGAGGAGAATACCTGGGAAGCCATGAAAGTACACAAGACACGAACTAGCCTGCAATCCTCCGAACCACAGTTGCTATCAAAAATTTAGGATCTTCCCTTCCAGTCTTCCAGCGTCGCTATAAATACATATTGATAAAATTGGAAACATGCCATCCATACAGCTTTGTGCCTTGCATTTTTGCATTATACGCATTTTTCAAATCATTACAGTCCCCCAAACCATGATTTTAATGAGTATAAAATTCCATCAAGAGATTACAGAAATACAGTTTTTTAAAAAGCTAAACACCTGAATCTCATACAAACGCCACAAGGATTTACTCCACTCATGAGATCGTGAACAGTTTGGAAAAGCTGCTTAAAAGGAGTAGTAGCAAAACAGGGTGATGTGGGTGTTGGAGAAAAAGTTGAAATCTTATGGCTCCCACAAATACAGAAGTGGTGGGTGGCTCAAAACAATGGAGCCGATGATTATTTTTCTACTAGACTGAAATTGTCTTTGTCTATGGGAAATCTATAGTTCATATATAGCTTTGGAGAGCATAGGCTTTTAATCAATAGTTAATACAGCCAATGTAACATTCCCCTGGATAAGTCAATTACAGGATGAGCCTGTTAAACAGTGCTCACATACCACAGCCTGCTTGCTTTTTTGCTTTATTTCCAACTTTTGAGCAATTTTTCTTAAGCTGTACTGTTTCTCTATTTTAAACCTTAGAATACATTCAGTATGTTTTTGTGATCATAAATATTGTTTAATTCTTTTAAATATTCCATTGAATATCATCTAACTCCTTTTTTGTTTGAAAGAGCCTGGATTTATTAGAGCCACTAGGTCAGGGACTGTGCCTGTCTTGTTCTCCCAGGAGTATTAAAGCCAAGTACTTGGCCCATGGTGAAAAACTTGGAAAATATTTGGTAAATCAGTGAGTGTATGGCATCTGAGTTTTGCCAGTGTGATGAAACTCATGTTATTGTTTAGCGTATGTTCTGACTGTAATACATCATGTCAGTAATCTGAAAGGAAAGTCAGTCAGTCATAGTCCTGTCATCTTCGTATCACTTGTGTGATTGATGTGGTTGGTATAGGAAGACCAGACTTCGGGCTCCTCACCTTCATCCTTCAGTCCCTTTTGGACTTGGCCTATTCTTGTGGAAGCTGTTTGCTGAGTTCTTAAGAAATTCTCCTTTTATTGAGATGGGCTGCAATCCATGTTTGCGGTCTACACTGCCTTGGATAATTTTCAATTCCCTTTCTTGCAAACTAGAAATCCTAGCTTGCACGCTTGTTGTGAGGAAAAAGGAGAACAGGGTGGTGAGAATGATTTGGAAATTGGGAAGTGAGATACCAGTGCAGACTCAAAGTCAAGTCCATGGTATGATGCTTTGCGGGGTGGGAAGGAATTTCACACGGACTGTTTCCCACTGGGAGGCCAGCAGGTGAGTGTCATTGTGTTCAATGAGAAAGGCAAGGCTCAGTGGGAACAGCACCCATGGGCTTAACCTCAAGAATCCACCAGCAATCCCACCACTTCATTCCTTTCCACTGATGTCATGCTAGGCAGAGCCACTGTCATCCCTCACTAGGGCTTCTGGGAGTCTCCAGCCTGCCTTCCTGCTACTTTTCTCACTCCCTCCCCTCCGCCCTCCCCCATCCTCACCCTCACCCCCACCCCCACTCAGCAGGCAGAGTGAGTTTTTAAAAATCTAATACAGATCATATTACTCTGTGTTTGAAATACCATTGCCTTTGAAGTCTTTTTTTTTTTTTTTGTGGTACTGGGGTTTGAACTCAGGGCTTACTCCTTGAGCCATTTGCCATTGAGGGCAACACAAAAAACAAACCAACCTTTTTTTTCTGTTGGGTTTTTTCGAGATAGGGTCTCGAGAACTATTTTCCTGTGCTGGCTTTGAACCACGATCCCCCTGATCTCTGCCTCCTGAGTAGCTAGGATTACAGGTGTGAGCCACTGGTGCCTGGCTCTTCCAAGCCTATTTCTAATAAAATCCAGACACTTTCCAGGGCCCCTGATGATCAGACCACAGCTGTCTTGCTGTCTACCTCACTTACAACTTCCTGTCTTACTTCTGGGGACTTTAGCTACCTCCACTTTCTGTTGTTTGGTAGCCAGACCAGGCCCACCTCTGCTCAGGCATACCACTTGCAGCTCCCTCTACCTGGGGCCCTTTCCTCTTAGATCTTTGCATGGCTTCCTTTTTCTGGTCCCTTGCCTCAATTAAATGCCATCTCTGCTGATCATTCTGTCTAAAATAGGCACCCCTGCCAGGCCCCATCTTATTTTCTTCAGGGCACTTAGCACCACCCAAGATCGTCGATTCATTTACTGTCTCCTGCCTCTAGAAGGTAAACTTGGTGAGTAAGGAGACTTTGTTTGTCATGTTACCACTCTATCTCCAACACCTGGAAGAGTTCATGGTCCACAGTGGAGCCCAGCAGGTCTTCTGCAGAGCTGTTGCCAGGGGCAGTGGTTGGCTGGGTATGGAGGACTGGGATTCCCATGGTGATGGGTCTTGTTGTACTGGCAGGAGGACGTGAGGAAGGCAGCTCCCACCTACAGCATGAACTCACAATACCTCAGTGGACGACTTCAGAAAACCCCGTGAGAGAAAAGGTAAGTCTTCCAAACTCTCCTTTTGGGGGACAGGAGCTGACAGCTTGCTCTGTGAGGCTCGGGACTGCCTACCCAGCTTCCTAGCTTTGACCAGAGTCCTAGTCCTCACCCCTGGTTCTGTTTCAGGCTCTGTCCTCTCTGGGTGTTGGTTTTGAACATCTTAGACGGGACTTTCCTTCAATGTATGACCAACTTATAGAACAATTTCCCAATGCTATTAATTGAGGAAGTGAAAATTCACAGTAATACTGACACAGACCCAGTGTAATTGAGATGGTGTCACAAAAACCACTGTCAGCTGGAATTCATTAAATATTGTCATTGCTATTTTTGCTGTTTATACAATGCACATTGCATTTTATTGCTAGATAATGAACTGGGAGAAAAAGGGGATAATCTAAACTTTCTTTTCTTTCTTTTTTTTTTTGGTTGTTTTGGGGTTTGAATCAGGGCCTTGCACTTGCTAGCCAGGTGCTCTCACACTTGATCCATACCACTAGTCCTTTCTTGCTTTAGTTATTTTTCAGGTAGGGACTTGAAGTTTTGCATGGGACTAGCTTCAGACTGTGATCCTCCATCCTAGCTGGGACCACAGAAGTATACCACCACTTGGTTGAGATGGGGTCTTGCTCACTGTTTATACAGGCTGGTCTTGAACTGCAATCCCCTCATTCTCTGCCACCCGAGTAGCTGAGGGTATAGGCTTAGAGTTAAAGGTCCAGCTAAACTTTTTGGGGGAGGAAGTTTTGGGGATTGAACTCAGGGTCTCATGCTTGCTAGGCAAGCATTCTACCATTTGAGCTGTACCCTAGCCATTTTTGCTTTCATTTATTGTTTTAGATAGGGTCTCGAGTCTTTACCCAGGGCCAACCTCAGACCAAGATCCTATTACCTACATCCTCCCAAGTAGCTAGGAGCACAGGAGCACACCACCATGCATGGCTTATTGATTGAGATAGGGTCTCACTAACTTTTTTGCCCGAGCTGGCCTTTGAACTATGACCCTCCCATTTCTGCCTCTCAAGTAGCTGGGATCATGTACCACCATGCCTGGCAACAAAAGTTGTTTTTTTTCCCCTCATGCTGGGGCTTGAACTCAAGGCCCCCATGCTTGCTAGGCAAGTGCTCTACCACAAATTGTTTTTAATAAGAAACATGGTAGGGACCTAGGATGGGGGGAAATGTATCTTAAAATCCTATAGTCTCCTTGGGTCAGAACATCAGCAAAGTGCACAGGCTTTGTTGAGGGGGTTGGGAGAAAGCAAAGACATGATTGTGCTTTTGAACAGAGGCCTGTATGTCAGGGTATTTTCTGTTTCTGATTGTGGTTTTTACTGATCAAAGGAGATGCAATTATTGTGTAGCAGAAATGTCTTCGGGACCTTCCACTTTCTATAGAACTTGAGTTTCCTCATTTATAAGATAGGTCTAAAGGGGGAATAAGGAGGAAGAGGTGGGGAGGATTGATTTCTTTCTCTTTTCTGTTCTTTTTTTGAGAGAGTCTTGCTATATAGTCCATGCTGGCCTAGAACTCAAGCTCTTCCTCATGCCTTTGCCTCCCAAGTTCAGGGATTATAGGCATGGACCGATATACCCAATCTGCAGGGTTGGCTTTTAAGATTTTTTGTGTCCAAAGAGCCTGTGATTTATTGGGCGCTATATGAAGAGCAAGGTTCTAGCAGGAGAGAGATGTATCAGGAAAGACTTAAGGTACTGCTTTGGAGTAGAAAGATGAATGCAGAGGAGAAATGGTAATGGTGATATCAACATGTCACAAATGTTCCAACTTGGCTTTACAAGGGAATGTACAGTGAAAATTTCAAGACAAAGAAAAAGCGGAGAACATGTTTCCATAAAGGCAAGCAATGCATGAAATTTATTTCCTCAAAAAGTAGAAAAGGCTGAAAATAGTTTCAAGAAGAGTGTAGACAAATTAATGGATGGCCATCCTAGAGCAGCTTCTTTTTAAAAATTGAGTTTGTGGGTATTTCTGCTCACCATGAGTGCCTGAGGAATGGACCCGATACTTTTTATAGATGCAGGGATGCCTGGCATCCTCAGGAAGGGCCGGAGAAACAAAGTGGACAGTCAGATCCTGTCTTTGTTCCCAGCTATTGTCTGCCCAGAACGTGGGCCGCTGTATTCTGTCTGTAGGGAAAGTCAGCACTGTGCCTGGCACCATATATATTTGTTGAATGAACAAGTGAATGAATGACAGAGAAATAGCTGGATGTCACTGGCATTTTTCATTTATATAATCCATTTCTTTATTAAACATTAATTGAACACTAACTGCATATTAAATGTTATGCTAGGTTTTAGGGAGGCGCAAACATATAGGATAGGTTTGCATTACCTTGTAACTGAATCTCTGTTTAATCTAGCCCTAAGGAGAAAGAACTTTGACCCTTTCTAGGGGACCTACGTACAGTAGGTCAGCTCCCTGTGCTTCTTAGGAGAGGTGATGTCTCTTCCTAGTTCAGTGTTACAGTTATAAGAGAAGAGCTGGTCAGTAGAGCTGGACTGGGAAACTTCATAGATATTTAAAATGCACTTTCACTGTTTTGCTTCCGTGTGCCCTGGAAACAAGGAACATGTGGTTTTAAATATCCATGTCTGAGCACTTTCCAGAACAGAAAGAATTATTTTTGGATTATCCACATAAAAATAAATATCAGCACTCACGCTGCTGCTGTGTCTTTTTGGAAGAAACGTGGTGGTTCCTGGATGGTGTCAGGATTCCTTTTTTTGTGTGGACTGTCACATGGTTGCTCACCTCTTGGATCAGGGGATTGTTACAGCTCTGTGGCTGTGTGTTCTGTCAGATGCCCACTTGGGGTCGTCACCTTGCGTGCTCAGTGGGACTGGGTAGGGTTCTGGCTTCAGAATTCTCCAGAGTAATGTGGCATGGCACCTGCATCAGAAACTGAGAAGTAAATCACTTAGTGAAAGTGACCAGGCAAACGTGTCTCTGCTTGCTGTTGCCATGGTTTGGAAACCACTTCTTAGTTAGGTTAGGTAATAGGGTTATTAGGCATTGGGCAGGGTTGCCCAAGAGTCCTTGAATGGAACGTTCAGATCTCTTCAGAGCCCTTGGTGGCCCAAATGTCTCGGGGATGCTCAGATCCTGATGGAGAAGGTGGTTTGCAATAAGCAAGAAAGGGAGTGTGCCTAGAAGAGGTGGCAGAGCAGGTGACCCAGACACCTCAGAACTAAGCTTTGATGTCCCCACTAAAAGCGGTAGTGGCAGCTGTACTCTAGCAAGGCTCTTTGTGGATTGAAGGGACTTTTAAGAATTTGTCAGTTCCAAAGAACATCATCTTAAATGAAGTTAACAAGGCTCAGAAAGACAAAGGCCGCATGTTTTCTCTCATATTGGAAGACAGGCCTGGGAAAAATACAAACGATATTATGGAAAAAAGGGGAGGTCACTAATGGGAGAGGAAAGGTAAAAGAAGGAAGTTAAAAAGGTGAATATGGTGAATGTACTCTCTATGCAAGAATGAATGTAGAGTTTTTAAACCTGTTGAAATCAGCACAAGAAGGGGACTAAAGTAGAAAGAAGAAAAATAGAGAGCATGAACCAATTCGAGTTAAAATACTTGTATACATGGAAATGTCACAATGAAACTCCTTGTATAGCTATCTTATGCAAACAAAAATGCCTTTTTGCAAAAACAGAGAACAGAAAGGTAAAACAGGTCCTGTCTGGGGGTTGGTACCAGTGGGAGGGGAGATATAAGGAAAGGATGTAGGAGGGTGAATGTGGTACAGATATTATGTACTCAGGTATGAAAACGGAAAAATGAGACTTGTTGAAACTGTTCCAGGAATGGGGAGAGGAGAGATAAAGGGGAATGGTGGAAGGGGTCAATTCAACTATGATATATTATAAGAACTTTGGTTAGTGTCACAACGTACCCCCAGTACGTCAACAACAAGAAGATTTAAAAAAGAATTAATCAGTTCCTTAGCCAGTCACTGATGGCTCTTATCTGTTAATCCTAGCAAGTTGGGAAGCTGAGCCCAAGAGGATTGTGGTTTTGGGGCCAGTCTGGGCAAATAGTTTTCAAGACCCCATCTCTCATATAACCAGAAAAAAATGGACTGAGGTGTGGGCCAAGTGAGAGAGAGCCTGCTTTGCAAGTGCAAAGCCCTGAGTTCAACCACAGTCCCACCAAAAAAATGATCAGTTCCTTTATTGCAAGTTAGAGAGCTCATATTTAAAATATCCCAAAGAATCTAGCCGTACTATTGTAAATAAGTTTTTAATCATTGATTCCCTCAAAAAAAGCTCATCCTCCCTAACTTGAGCTGTTGAAGCGTGGAGGTTCCTTATGGTTTGCTTTTAAAATTTATTTGAAATTGTCCACAATAATAAGGAAAAAAGATTAAAAGTCCTTTTCTTGCCGGGTGCTGGTCGCTCAGTCCTGTAATCCTAGCTTCTCAGGAGGCAGAGATCAGGAGGATCGTGGGTTTGAAGCCAGTGTGGACAAATAGTTTGCGAGACCCTACCTTGAAAAAAACCCTTTACAAAAAAAAAGGGCTGACGGAGTGGCTCAAGGTGAAGGCCCTGAGTTCAAACCCCAGTACTGTCAAAGAAAGTGTTTTTCTTAAATTATAAAAACAAGTCAAAAAGCATAGAAAGAGGCATGAAAGAAAAGAAATTAAACCAGGATCTTATTGCCAAGAGCAACTATGGTGGCTTTTAGGTTTATTCCTCCTTTTTCCCTTTACAAAAGCGAATTTAAATAAGAGTACAGTGGCTATTTTGGGCCTTTGCACTGTTTTCAGTGACTGTCTAGAGTTCCATCATAAAATGAATCAGTGTTTATTTAATCATTCCTCCATCTTTGGACATTTCGGATATATTTCATTATTTATTAATGTGTCTTTGTATCAAACCCTTTGCCCCTGTGTCTGCTAGTTCTCTGCAGAAGACTTACATTCCTGAGGAAACTGGTGTAAACAATTGGGAACACTTGCTCCATATTGTCAAGTTATTTTTTGGAAACTTGTATCAATTTAAATTGTGTGTGACAGGATCTGAGGGTGCCCATTTTATAGTATGCCCCATTGCATCGTGATTTATGGTTTTACATAATCTCTGTCACTTTGATTTTGTTTAAGATATTTTCTTTTCTTTTGGTGGGACTGGGGTTTGAACCCAAGACTTTGTGCTTGCAAAGTGGGTGCTCTACTGCTTGAGCCAATGTATCATTTTTTTTTTTAAATGAGTTTCTTTTTGGAGGAGTTGGGGGGATAGTTTGCCTGTGATGGGCTTATTTTTTCATGATTTATGGTCATTTGTATTTTTTTTTGAGACAGGGTCTTGCTATATAGCCCATGGCTGGCCTAAACACATGGTCCTCCTCTTGCTTCAACCTTCTGAGGACTGGGATTATAGGAATACATCACCTCTCCTAGCTCCATTTGTGTATCATAAATGATCTATTCTGGGTAGATAGCATCTGTGGCCATTAGCAAACTGTTTATGTGTAAAATATATGAATTTTTGGATTTAGGGAACCTTAATTTGAGGTGCTCATAGTTGCTTCCTCTGAGATGACTGGAGTTTCCACATGGGGAACAAAAGTAAATAAGAACCCAGTCTGAACAGGTGTTTTATAAAATGATAACCAACATTTCTTCAGAACTTCCTGTACACCCTTATACATTGTAATACATTTTTTTTTACTTTTTGGTGATAGTGGGGTTTGAACTCAGGGCCTCGTGCTTGCTAGGCATACCTAGCCCTTTTTAGAGCCATACCTCTCGCCCTTTTTTGCTTTAGCTATTGTTTAGATAGAATCTTGTGCTTTTTGCCCAGGCCAGCCTCGCAGGAAATCCTCCCGCTCTTACTCTTCCTTCATAGCTGTCATGACAGACAAGTGCCACCACACTCAGTTCTTTTTTTGTTGAGATGGGGTCTCACTAGCTTTTGCCTGGGCTAGCCTTGAACTTTGATCCTCCCTGTCTCTGCCTCTCAAGTAGCTGGGATTACAGGCATGAGCCACTGCATCTGGCCCGTGACATATTATTTATACTCATCATTTCACTTAATCCTTACAAGATCCCCATAAGGTTGATTGTGTTTATCTGTATATCGTAAAAGAGAGAGCGGAGATGTTGCAAGTCAGATACGTGTCCAAGTTCACACAGCCACAGGTGTCTGAGCCAGCACTTGGATCCAGGTCTGACTTCCTGGGACATGTGTTACTGATGACCATGTTTTCCTGCCCGTCTGTTCCCAGATCGCGTGCATGCACTCACACCAAATCTCAGTTGAATTCAGAGAGAATTCAGAGGGGCTAGGGTTTGGGTTGGGCTAGAAATGCAACTGACCTTTTCTCACTGGCTTCCTGTGGATGCACTGTGCCAACTCCTGTGCCTGACCCCGGGAGCCTGGTCCTGCCTTCAGGAACTGACATCCTTTTGTTATTGCTTTTAGCATCCACTCACAGCTGAGCTCAGGGTAATCGCAGAGGGGCGTGAGCTGATCCTGGACCTGGAGAAGAATGAGTAAGTTCTTGCCTCCTTTGTCTGAAATGAAACAGTTAACTTATTCGTCAATGCCTGTCGCAGGTGTTGCTGTCTGGGAAGTGACCCCAGGCTCTCAACTTTTGGTCCCTTTGGGGGAGCGATCGCTGGACTGCTTAACGTCTTGCCTGGATTTCCTCAGGCTGCATTTCCGTTGCCTCTTGGAGGTCATTTGGGCCCTTGCTGTGTGTATGTGTGAGTTTAAGGGAGGGAAGACACTGGACACAGCTGCCTTTCTAGCTCCAGCCCAGTGCACGGCAGGAAGTGCAGGCAATTTGAGGAAGACAGCAGAGTTACCAGGCAGGGAACTCTGGGACTTGACACCTCCGGTCCTGGTTGCTCCATCTACCCTGGGTCAGAGAAATCTGAGATTCTGCCAATAAGGGTATCAGCTCCTCCATCTTCCTAACCTCATTCATCTCGGGTGGCGGTCTGGCTCAGAAATACTTCCTCATTGATTTGCCATTGGGCACAGTTGTATCTTGATTGATGTCACCAAGGGATGAATAGACATAACACATGGCCGTGTCTGTTGCCCGTTCCTTGGCCGTTCCCAGTCTGCCTGGACCATGAAGAGCTCTCCTTACTTGGCCAAGGACTCTGAAGGCCTTTGTAATTTTCCCCACCAACAGTTCCACTTTCATCCACCACATAGCTGTCACAGATAAGGATGCATGGCTTGGAGAGGTGCCCGTGTCCTCTTGGCAGCCTCCAGCACCTCTTCTGCCCCTGGAACCTGATGAGCAATCAAATGTACCCCTGCCAAGACAGGGTGTAGCCTTCCCATATCCAGAGGGGTGGGAATGGCTACTTGGCTTGAGTACAAAGGGAGAATATAATTTATTCCAAATTTGGGCTCTTTGGACCCTTGCAAAGCAGGATAAGTGTGGCTTATCCCAAGTGTGGCTGAAGTGCAGCTCAGCTGCTGGTGCAGTCATGGCCTTTATCCTTGTCTTGCCTCTGCCTCTGGGGTATGGTGGCCTTTAGGAAGCTGGAAAGATGGGCATCATGGTTAGTTTTGATCCTTTTCTCCAGGGCAAAGCCAGCTTTCTACTGGTTCACTGGACTGTTTTCTCCCATTGCCTGGACCAGGCCTGGCTGGCTGCATCCCCAGATGGAGCAAGCCCTCCTTGTTCAGGGTTTCTCCTTGGTTGTCTTCCTGTGGTCCTACAAGATACTTTCTTTTTGACAACCTCTCTCAGGAATCTGCTTTGGTTTCTTACCGCCCCTATCCGTCAGCAAAGGTTTCCCACTGCCCCTATCCTGTTGTCACCTGAGTCTGTCTGTCTTACTCAGCCCCGAGCGGAGCATGTAAACCTTAAGCTTCTTCCAGTCATCCCAAGTGATGAGATACTGTCATGGGCAAATCCTCACGAGCTGGGTCAATTAGGCAGAGATCCCAGGGCTCTGGCTCGGATCTTCCTTCCTTTTTGAGCTTTTTTTTTTTTTTTTTTTGGCAGTACTGGGGTTTGAACTTAGGGCTTCAAGCTTGCTAGGGAGGCGCTCTGCATCTTAAGCTGTTCCGCCAGCCTGTTTTGAACTTTCGCAGGTCATCAGAGGTTGGAGCAAGAAGATACCTTGGAAAACTCTGATCATTGAGATTATATGTGCAGAGACAAAAGCTTCAACTCAGAGAGGGAGAGGCACTTGTCTAAGCTCACACAGCAGTAAATAAGAGAGGCAAGTGTAAATGATCGAGTAAATAGCCGCTGTATTCTTGGCTTGGGTCTAGAGTCACAGAATGTCACCCAGGACAAACTATGGAATCTTTTGGAACTTCTTCATGCTCATTTGTGAAACAAGGATCGAATGCCAGCCTCATGGGGATGGTTGTGAGGACTGAATGAAGGGAACATGTATGTGAAGGAAATACAGTGATTTTTTTATCGCTCCTCACTGAGGCTCCAGGGAATGCCCAGATGTGATTCCATTGTCTGCTGCTCTGATTGAGCAGCATGGGGCTGGACTTGGTTCCTGGCCTCCTTGAGTTGACAGAAGGCAGGAGGATTGAAAACATGGAAGGAGCAGAGCCAAGCAGTATGACATCAGCAGGTGTCCCTGGGGGAGGGCTTCCTGCTATTTGCATCCAAATTGGGCTTTTTGTTTTTGAACATGTGTTAGTGAGCAGAACTCCAACTGCACACGACTTCCTCCTGTGTTTATTTCCTTCTCCCTCTCATTCATGGTGCGTGCAAATCCGGATTCAAAACAGCTTTGCATGGGAGAGATGCTTTTCTGATTTTTCAAGTGGCTGTGTTAAAGTTTCTATACTTCTGTGAAACCTAGGAGGAAATTAGGCCCTGTGCTGTGATTTCTAAGCACTTTCTTAGGTCCTCAGTCGATCCCTTCGTTCTTCTCCAGTGCACATCTGGAACATTCCAGGTACCCGTGTGGGTATTATAGTCCAGGGTGTGATCAAACAGCTCTGCCTTTATGGGAGTTCTTATGCTCACAGGGGAGACATTAAGCAAACGAGTGAGTGTCTGCTAAGTCAGACAACAAATACTGTGCAAGAAGCAAAGACTCAGTCGGAAGTGCTCAGGACAGCAGGGGTGGGAAGCAGCTGCTGCTGTGAATAATGATCAGGGATGGACTTGCTGAGCTGATATTTCAGTTGAGACCTGAAGGACTGAGCCATGGAGACAGCTGAGAGAGAATTCCAGGGAAAGGGAACAGCCAAGTTCAAAGGCTTTATAGATTATGAAGATTTCCACTCCCCAGGAATCATGGCAGGAGCTTCTGAGACCCTGGGGGATGGGGAGTGGACATTTTCAATCTTTTTCATCATCCTGAGGTGTCTGGCCATCTCCCATCAAATCAAAGCCCACGTGCTAATGCATGGCCCAAAATAGCAGTGAGCGAGCCTTTAATGGAATTCACACATGGGGAGAGCATTGCCAAGAATGGTGAGGATGGAGGAGCAGGGGGGATGGGCCAGGAGAGGGGACGTGGCTTTAACACAGCACAGGCAGCAGACGTTCAATAGCGCGACAGCCTTTTTTTTTCCGCTTTGAAGCAACTCAGGATACACGGATGACATCCTTGTGAGAGACGCACCCCTTTAGGGTAACTAAGTCCACGGACCTTCATTTTGGACGGGATCTGCATTCAGATCCTGGCTCTGTCACTTAACAGGCAGTATAAGCATAATCCCATGTCACAGTCATGCAGTAACACAGTGTATGGCTTGTATTCTGTGCTCCATAAATGGCAACTCATTTGCTCATTGTTTTGAAGTTATGAAAGCAAACGCCCATGCTCGTTGTAAAACATGTAGCAGTGCCAAATAAATGAAGGGACGAAGGTTTCCCACCACAAGAAGAATCCACTATTAACTATTTGGTGGGAATATTCTAGATCTTTCCTAGGCATGTGAGAACATGTACACGGATACTCATAGACAGAGTCTCACAGGAGCAGATACAGACCCGTTGGGAAAGAGGAAGCAGAAATGAGATTACACCAGACATATTGTTTTTCTGACTTAACTGGATGTCACAAAGATAGTTCTCTGCCCTAATAAAGTATGTGTGACATTGTCTATTACATTTTTAACATTTACACGCACACACACATGTAGTTCATCAGCGTTGGTATGCAGCTGTTGTTAGGAGATACTTGTGAGTGAGGCATCTGTTTAGTGGAATAGCACTGAGATCAGAGATAGAGGGTGTGGAATTTGTTAATGTGCCATTTGGCTCTCCCGAAGCCTTAACTTTCTCATCTGTAAGATGGGATGTTAGTCCCGGTTGGACTCCAAAAGCTCTTCCTACACTACCTATTCAAAGAACACTGCATAATTGGACAAATGGAAAAGAAGTCCTCATCTCAGAGTTTGTTCTAATTGTGGAGACCTCCCCTGGCAAGAGTGGGCAGTGAGATGACAGGAAATGATGTCCAAAACCATGGGTCCTTGAAATTAGGGATTTCACAAAATTGGGGATTTCACAAAACTGTGAACTCAACCCACCAGTTCAGGCAACAGAAAGCACAAGGAAGAAAATTACAGGGCAGAAATTATAGGCTGCCCTTTCACAGCCTATGATCTTGAGGCATAATTCATGATATTTTTTTTTCTCCATGGATTTCATGTGTTTTCAGGATTGCTTCACCAATCAGATGGACTTTTCCTTGGCTATAGGCTTCCCATCCCAGAAGACAAATATCTCTAGGAAGTTGTGAGTCCTCGCAATGTCCCCTCTTCTTTCTTCACTTTTTTCCCAAGGGGAAGATGGACTGACCTGTTGAGCCCCTTCGAGGGTGCTCACTGGGCTACACTACCAGGGGAAAGCATCACTGTATTACAATGTCAACTTCAAAAGCAAATGAGCGGCTCAAAGATTGGGCGCTTTGCCCAGAGGATCTTTGACCATGTCCTTCTGCCTGCTTGTCCCCTAAGCATTCTGCAACCCTCATCTCTTTAGCACACTTTCCTTCCTTGAGTCCAAATGATGATAAGATTTAGATTTTGTCTTAAGAACGAGAGAGGCCTCCTTTGGTCTTGCTGCATTCAGTGTGTTCTAACCCAGTGAGCTAAAGAGAGGTCCTGCTTGTACAAGTCCAGCTAATAAGAATGGATATTTGTTTTGTTTTGTATTTTTTTTAACCATGATTCATCATGGCGAACAGTCATTGTCAAGGCAGAATTTGGGTGTTTAGAGTTTACAGATTTTAATAGCCACCATGACTTCTGACCTTAATTTCTTTGCATCTCAGAGGCATTACAGGAAAGGAGATTGCTTTTGTTGTCCTGGAATTTATACTACAGCCTGGAAAATTAATATTCATCTGCCGTTATTGGAGTGATCAAGCATTCTAGTTTTTCTCCTTTTGTGTTCGGCTCTATTTGGATTGCATGATGCTAGAGGAACAGAGAAGGGGAGAATGAGCAGGGGGAACAGTTTCCAGCCAACAGGCAGATGGATTATTACTACCTCTTATTCTTGTACTTCCCTTCCAAGGAGGTCTGATAGAAATATGTG